ACCAAATTATTTACTAAAGGTTACAAAAAAACAGAGGAACATTTTTCTGTACTGAAACAACAAGAAGAAAGAAAACACCAATCTTACCTAATAATTTGAATAGCCTGGAACATTTTCTTTGGGGTCATTGCCAATTTCCTTCATTTTGACAGCACGATGCTGGGGTGGGGAGGGAGGAGAACAGGCTCCCTTTCCCCAAACCCCACATTCCCAGCCTCTCTCCACCAACTGTCACTGGAGTCGAGAGTCCACAGAGACTTTGCAAGTATTGTGGAAGCTCACTGACTTAATGGACGCCGAAGACGCTTTGGGGCCACAGCTCGGCTGGAGCTGAGAGTGTGCTCCCCAGTCCAGCAGCCTGCCAGCCCGTTGGCCCACCTCCAAGGTGGGCACATTTAGTATCCCCACTACTGTTTGAGGAAATCGGGCTCCCCAGCGAGACGCCCTGAAGCGGACTGGGACCCAGGCTGCGCCTCGCTTCTGATTGGCAGTTAACAACTAACCAGAGAAAGAAGGCCAGGGCCGTGGAAGCACCTAAGCCAGGAGGACGGGGCAGGTGACCCTCATTTGAATGGGGGGTGAGGGGAGCACCCCCAGAACCAGAGGGTGAGCCCTGATCACAGGGCAGGCCAGGAGCTCCTGTCCGCCGGTGGGTCTGGGATGCACAGCTGCATCTCACCAGCTCCCAGGTGAGACCCAAGGGGCTGGGGGAGGGGCATTCCGGAAGAGCGGGTCTTAGATGATTTGGGGACAGGGGCGAGAGGGGCAGACAGCATGCGGTAGCTTTTCCCTTTGAGTCAGATCCCTTTAAGACTCTAATACAACTAGCCCTGACCTGCTGGGCTCAGCGGCAGAGCGTTGGCCCACGGACCAATGAGTCGTGGGTTCGATTTCGGTCAAGGGCACGTACCCTGGTTGTGGTTCATCCCCGGCCCTGGCTGGGGTCATGCGGGAGGCAACTAGTCCATGTGTCCCTCCCTCTCACATCAATGTTTCTCTCTCTCTCTCCCTCCCTCCCACTCTATCTGAAGATAAATAGAAATATATCCTCAGGTGAGAAATAAAATTATTTTTTTAATCCTCACCCGAGGATATTTTTACATTTCTCTTCAGACAGACTGGAAGGGAGAGAGAGAGAAATGTTGATGTGAGAGAGACATATCTATTCCAACCGGGGCTGGGGATGAACCGCAATCGAGGTACATGCCCTTGGCCGGAATCGAACCCAGGACTCCCTGGTCCTCAGGCTGATACTCTAACCGCTGAGCCAAACCAGCCAGGGCCTCAGGCGAGGATTTAAAAAGAAGAATCTAATACGAGTATAGGCTGTCTCCCTGGGGGAGGCACAGGCGATTCTAGTGTCAGGGGTCACGTCCCAGAAGCTACCCGGACAGCTGGAGAGCACCTGGTTGTTAAGACAAGTCACAGAGCAGCAGGCTCTCAGAAGAAGGACAGACACAAGTGGGCGCCAGCCTGGCTCTCCCAGGCCCACGGCCCCCCAGAAGGTGTAGTGCCGGGACTTGAGCCCCGGTTTGTCTCAGCCCCAAGCCTGTCTCTTACCTCGCTATCCCCAGTGGATGAATCTGAAGGCCTGAAGATGAAAAGCCACAGCCCCCACCCCCCATGCACAGTCGGCTGCATCGCTTCATCTCAGATGGGAAAGTTTCAGTTCTGGAAGTGGGGACCCCTGCTGTGAGCCCGGTCCAGCCGGGGGTAGGACCAAGGTGAAGGAAACTTGCAGCCTGGTGTCTGGCTCCCACACCCCCTCACCTACTTGCCCAGCCGCTGCCCAGACCCGACCACACTGAGGCTGTCCACTGAGGTCGGCCCCTAGCCCGCCAGCTGGGACCTGGCATGACTCCACCCTCAGCCTCAAGTGTGTTCACCACAGGGGCAAAGAGCCAACCACATCAGCTTCAGGCCCCACCAACTGCCATCACAGACCCTTTATTTCCAAAAACAGTCCGTCACAGGGCGCCTTTAAATAGGCCTGTTACCAGATCTGAAGTATATCCAGCACGTCTTTGTTGAGCCCACTGCCCAGACCTCCATGGCCCTGTGGACCAGTGTCCACCCGATGGTGCAGAAACATCCTTGTTCCCCTCACACCACCTGCACCTCTCCAGCCCAGACCCGCACTGAGCTCAGGTGCATCGGCCCCGCTGGACAGGCCGGATCTACACGCATTTTCTGAGAGGCAGCCCCTCCTCACCTGTTCTTACCTGGAGACACCTGCCCGTGGACGGGGCTGACTGCAGAGGGGAGGAGGAAGACGTCAGAGGAAACGTGTCTGCAGTGTGACCCACAGGAACCCTCAGGCAGCAGCCAGGTGAGGGACTCGTTTTTCAAAACCCCAGGGCCGGCCCAGATTGGTAAGAACTCAAGGTGCATCCAGGAATGGGTTCACGCAGCTGGGACTCAAAGCACAGATGTCCACACACACACACGGGGCCTCTGCCCTTCCCCCACCCCAGGAATTCCAGGACAAGGCCAGCGTTTTGAAAAATATAAAATTTTAATAAAGGCTACATCTCTTAATTACAATAATTATTGTACCAAGTAATTTTCCTTAAATGAACTCTTTATAATGCATAATTTACAGTATAAGTAGAAATGCCATGGCAAAAGTCACTGAGTACAAGACTTGTAATAAAAAGGCATAAAATATATTTATACATAAACCCCTTTCAAAAAACAAGGGAAAGCTTGAGCCCTCAATACAGGGCGACACACGGACGGGGACACCGTGCAGGTACAGGTACTGTACTGATTTAAAGTCAAGCACTAGAGATAGTGGATTAACACTCTTCCGCCGTACGATATATACAGACGTATAGTACAAGTGACCAGGGCCGACGAATGTACAGATTAACTTAATACAAAAACCCAAACGTCAAATGAAGGTGTCTGGAGGAAAAGGGGTGCTGCTAGGCCTTCCCACAGCGGTTTGCTTCTTTGCAGGGCAGGGGGGTTGTTTCCAGAATGGCTGTGGCCCAGAGTCATCAAAAAAAAAAAAAAGACTCCAAGGAATTGTTGTGTCAATAAAAGCACAAGTTGAACCACAGGTTCTAGTAGGACTCAGCCACTGGGCACGGCCTTGGTGGGGAGCTACGACAAGTTACAGGATGAATCTGGGGCCCCCAGAAGGCTCCCCCCAACTCAGCAATGATCATCCCATCCAACAAGGTGACCCCGAACTGGCAGTGATGTTGCAACCTTAAGTCAAACTTCAAGACCTTTCTGCCAAAATACAGCAGCACAGAAAAAAAAAAAAAAAAAAAATGCACCGATTTCTGCGTGTATCACTGGTAGGGCACCCCCGAGAAAGATCTGTCTTCACGTGGAGAAAACTCGGGGCCGTGCACAACGCCCCTCCCCCTCAGTGAAGAAACCATCACTGCACTCCGAGCTCAACTCCGAAGTTTGGATAGAACAATGAGAACGTCCCGTCTCCCCTTCCGTGGTTTAAGCAGCATATCCATAAACTGGGGGCAGGGATAATCAATTGTTCAATAAATATCAGTAAGGATTCCTGTTCAGGTAAGCTATACACAGTTTCTCTTAGTTTATGGATTTCAGATCCCTAGGAAGTCATATATTATGTATGGCAGTCTCTCAGATACAGTCAGCATCTTCAACAGCCAAGAGTGGTCATGTTTTTAATAAATAGTTCAGGCTTTTCTTATCTCAGTACCCAGCTCGTGAATAATGAAAACCGACCTCCCCCCACCCTCCCAAAGGCCCGGTGGCCAGTTCTTCCCTAGACTTTGTCTTCATTGGTTTTTTTCCTTCACTGTGTTGCCTGGCGGTGGCTCAGGTCCCAGACCATCCGTGCGGGCTCCGGCCCCGCAGCTGGACACGGCCGACCCACGCAGCTCAATCGATCCTCTCCACCTTCCCCAGGATCCTGCCTTCGTACATGGGGAGCACCGTCTCATCGTCCCAGATCTCCTCAAACACCGCTCCACAGGCAAACTCGTCGCTTGCTTTTTTGAAGTAATACCTTAGAAAGAAAAACCCAAAAAGCACCTTGGTCAAGTTGCATTTTCTGCTTTAAAAGGAACGCAGGCCAACACTGAGGACTGAGGCATCTCGAGGATTATGCTACAGCAGGTGTGCAGGTCGCCCTTGGCCCTGATCTAGGATGACCCCACGGCTCCCAAGGGCTGGCCCAAGGCGCAATCGGGCCAGGTCAGGTCACTGGGAGCAAAGCTAGGCTCCCGGTGAGCAGCAGCCTGGGCGGGGTCCCCTGCAAACAGCTCCGACGACACTCGTGTTGGGGAAAGTGCACTTTGCAGAGTACGGCTGCTTCTTTCTCCCCTTTTAATTGGGATTGGGGGTGGGGGTGGGGGTGGGGGGGGGCTGGGAAGGGCAAAGCAGGCCTTGAGTTCATTTGCCTGCTGCAGCCAAGAGGGGTGTCCTTCAGGGACCCCAGACGGAGCCCCGGGAGCTGTGGAAGGCCGACGCCTCGTCATCTTCCCACCTTCCCGCACCCAGTTGCCAGCTCCTGCAGCTGGTCCCTGGCAGAGCCCGAGATACCGCCCTTCCTCCTCCCACCCACCCCTCCAGGGTCAAACACGAAGGCCCTTCTATTATGCCCGCTGATTAAAGGTTCCTTTTATCCCACCCCGGCCTTCTTTCTTCTAAGGCTGTTTAATTGTATGGACTCAAATGAGCAGTCTCTCCGGCCGGCCTCTCCGGAGTCACATTCAGAGACGCTGGCCTCCCAGGCCCACTCCCAGGCCCCTTCCCAGGCCAAGCAGCGAGGGCCGCCTCCTTCCCTGTCCCGAGCAGGGACACCCCTCGAGCAGATTAAAGGCATCCCTGCAAGCTGTCATCTCCAACCAATAAGGCCAGGGTCGCAGTCCCCTGGGGGGACGGGCACAGCCTCTCTAAAAAATTTAATTGTGTCTCAGGGTTATGGCTGCATTTTGTTTTTGTCTTTTCTCTTAAAATTAATTCCCTTTGGTTAGAGCTAATTTTTTTTTCTCCTTTAATGAAGGCAAGCCAAATACTTTCACAGGAGATAAGGCTGAAGAGAGCGAACAGCTGGGTGTAGTCAAGGCCCTCTGTTTCCTGCACTCCCGGCCAAGCTAAAGCCGCTAAGGGGCCGAGGGGAGAACGCTCAGAGGGAGGGGGTCGGGCTATTGGGGGGGAGACTGAGAAGAGATGGCGAGAAAGTGGGGAGGGGCACCGGGCACCGGAGATCTGGACAGAGGGAAGAGTTACTTTGCCAATAAGAGGCTCCAACTCCAAGGCCGCCCTCCGCCCCCAGCGCCACCGGGCGCCTGGGGTTCACCGGGCGCCTGGGGTTCACCGGGCCGGGCCTTCACTGCAAACACGCCATGACCTTTCACACAGCTGTGCCCCCTTCCAGAGAGGGGAGAGGCCACGCTCCCGGCCCCACCCCCAGGACTTCACAAGTGCCCGCTGCCCGCCTCTCCCGCAGCGGGCTCCGCGGACTTTGTGTGGCACACTTGGCTTTCTCCTGCCATCTGGCCCGGCGGCGCCTGGCACGTCTCGAGGGCTGTGCTCTGTCTGAACCTCTGCAGGGTGAGATTACTCAACACAGGCCAGGCCCTCCACTCCACTCGCGGGGCGTGTGGGGGTGGGAACTAAATGCTGGAGCATCACCCCTGCTGGGGGAGGGGCGAGACCCAGCACCCTGCGCCCCAGCACCCAGCAGGACGGGGCGTTGGCTCTGGCCAGGAGAGCCGCAGAGGGAGATAAGGAGCGGGGAAGGCCCGCCACAGCCTGATCCAATCAGTGAAGAATTTGAGCGTGGACCATTCGTGCAAGTCTTTGTGCGTTAGAGGGGAGGCCGGGGCTTCAAAGCCAGGCTTATTAAATGTGCCTTAGGAAAAAAAAAAATCAGAGCCAGATGTGGCTGGAGCGGCTGAGCGCCCGGCCTCCCCTGCACCTCTGCCCAGCGCTGCATGGCCCTTCTCCCTGAAGGTCACCTGCAGTTCCCCCAAGTTCAGCCGAGTCAAAGCTGAGATCAAAATGAGTCCCTGGAGGGGCACACTTGTGTAATTAGTTTCACCTTGTGTCTGTTCCAGATTTTAAAAAACACAGCAGCAGCCAGGCCTGTTCCCCAACCCCATACCTTTGGAGGATTGTCTCAGCCTAGGTATAAAAGAGAAGGATCCAAGCCCGACTCTGCCCAAGCGAGCTGCTTGGAAGACAGGTCTGGGGGCCCTGGACCCCTGGACTCACCAGGGTCCAGAAGCCAGTGCCGCCTGGCACGTCACTAAGTGCTAGAAGCCAGTGCCGCCTGGCACGTCACTAAGTGCTATCAGGGTTCTCTCCTCCCGTTCCCAGCTCAAGGCAGGAATGGGTCGGCACCTTCTGGACAAACCGTGTGTTCCTCACACCTGTGCCCGTCCCTTGTTCCAGTGCTGCACACCACGCCTGAGATACAGCTGGAGCAGAACCCATGCACCCCCCAGGATGAAGGAGGGGCAGGTGGGACTCTGGATGAGCCCAGGTGGAGTCCCCACCCATCCCCAGTTAAGGGGAAAATGAACAAGGAATGGAGCCCTCAACTCGAAGCCTGCCCAGGCCCCGGAAGGCCGGGGTGGGCATCTGCATTGTGCAGACGGGGAAAGGAAGCCGGAGGGCGGGCAAGTTCCCTTCCCAAGGCTCTGTCCACCCCGTGCCCACCCGCAGGTCCCGCCCCCTTGGTTATGGACAAGAGAGTACCTTGCTTCACATGCCCCATAAGACAGAGGGAGGCAGCTCGAGGCAGAAGAGCTGAGTAAGGAGAACGCTGCCTGCATTTCCGGGCAATGTCTCTGCCCGTCCCCAAGCCTTCAGTGTGGACAGTCTCTCCGACACGCGAGCCAGAAAGCAGTCTTTCGGTCTCCTCATCCGTCTGCCCATCCGTGTGTCTCCCCCCTCTCCCCCCCGCATCTCTCTCCCTTTCAGGCAGAGTCCCACAAGATGGCCTAAGTCCGGCTCTCCTTCAGACAGAGCCACCTGCCACCTTTCTCCTCCGCGCCCTGTTCACCTGGTAGAAAAAGCCCACCCAGGCCCCCAGTCCTCTGCGCCGCTGCTGCGTTCTCCGTGCGTGGCGAGGGGACAGAGGAGAAGAACCGCAGGGGGGCGGCAGCCCACTCCCAGGGCACCCCTGTGTTTGCTCAGCCCCCCGCCCCGCCAGGTCTGGTCAGGCCAGGGAAGCAACTCTGGCTCTGGTTCTGAGCAGAACAACCCCAGGCGGGAAGAAGCCACAGGACCCTCACCTGTAACTTCCCTTTCTGCTGAGCTGCTCTTTGAAGTGGCCCAGGGTCAAGCTCTGAGCCTTCAGCACCCTCCGGTACGGAATCTCTTCTCCACAGAAGAAGTAGGTGACGACCAGCTCGCTGGCCTGGAGCGCGTGGGCCCCTGCTGGCTTCTTTGGCTCTTTGTGCCTGGAAAGAAGATGCAACGCAAGCATTTGAAGGCAGTGCGCGTGCGCGCACACGCGCACACATGCACACATATGCAGGCGTGCTCTCTCCAAACCTGTCTCCAGAGGTAAAGCTCAAAAGGGGGCCTGCGTGTGTGCCCCCATATCACAGAGACAGCCACCTCTGGTGAGCACGCAGGCCAACCCCAGGTCACCTGTGTCGGGCACAGGAAGGGACAATTCCCTTGGTTGTACAAACTGCTTACTGTTTCTCTTGCTACCGCTAAATGGGGCACAGAGAAGTCTCTTTCAGGTTGGCACAAATGGGGTGCCTCCTCTCAGAGCCCCCAGGACACTCGCGCTCAGGGCATGCTGTGCAGACGGACTCGGAACACCTCCTGGGATGGCATGAACTCAGACGGCTGGAGCCCACTGGGGGCGGGGGTGGGGAGCCTGCGGTCATTTAGAATTCCCCACCTATTCGAAGTTTTTGTAGGGTAGCTTTAAAAGAATACAAGCTGAGGGCCAGAATAGCTAGTAGACTTTAGGTCAACCAATTAAAACAAAGAAGTCCAGGGTAGTGGCTTCCTCAGGACTTCAAACATTGCTCACTGCTCACGATAAAGCAGCTAAGAAATAAAACTTTAGTTATTTAGACCATTTCCGATCTCTTCAGCAGATTTCTTTGAATGCACCATCCTGTAATTAAACGAAGCCAGGCCTCTCCGTCCACATTGTGAGGGTGCAACTTCACGAACGAACTCGCAGCACGAGGAGGAGAGACACCCTCAAGCCGGACAATGAGCGTCCTCCCCCCAGCTCTGTGGCGGTGGAGTCGCCTTCCTGCTCCTGTGCCACACAGGTTTCCAAGGTGCTAACTTGCAAGCTACATGGGGGCAACTTTTGCGTCCAGGTTCAGGGGCCCCTGCGCTCATCTGCCTGTGGTTTTGTGTCTCAGCCTTTGACTCGTGTGTGCTCAAGAACCCTGAGCCATCGTCACTCCAGGAAGGAACACTTGTGTACAAGTCACAAGGCGGTGCTCAGTACAAGCAGGCTTTTCAGGATCCTAATTTATGGCCACATTGGTGTTTATTGCTCGTCACAAACATGTTAAAATCGAGGTGACTTTATATACTTTAAAATGCTTTAAAAAAAATCGCAACTCCCGACTGTGAATACCCTGACATGCAACCCACTGGGTGGCCCTCGTCAATGCCAGGCAGACACTCACTCTTCGGAAACCAGGCTCGGGGTGGAGAAGGGTGTGGCTCCTGTCTGCCCTGTGGCCAAGTGGTTCCTGTCCCTCTGCTGACTGGCCACGCAGCACCTGAGGACATGGCCAGAGCAAGGGGTTAGAGGAAAGCCAGTTGTCCCCCGGGGCGCGGGGGGGGGGGGCGCGGCCTTCTAAACAGACACGCACCCAACTTCCAGCCACGGGGAGACCCAACCAAGGCCTGGTGTTCACAGTGGCTGGAGGAGGCCTGGAGGACGTCTTGGGCATCCCAAGCCCGCCTGGGAACCCAGGAGGGACACTGCCAGCCGGGCAGAGGGCAGAGGCCTTGATCCCCGCCAGCCAGTCTGCTCATCTAACCAGGCTTATGCGATCCGGGCGTTTAAAGGATGGGATTGGTAAGGAATTACTGAATGACCTAACAGACCCTCGTTAGCTCTTCAGGACCAATGGAACTGAAGGCAACAATTTGCCAGAAGCAATTCCTCCCTGAGGAAAGACGGAGACCCAGCAGGGAAGAAGGCCTTCCTTCCGCAACAAGCAGGTCTCCATGCCCACGCCCAATGCCAGCCTTTCCCTCCGAGGCCCGTCCACTCACCGCTGCTTGGGGGGTTTCGACACCTCAGCTAGCCTGCGGCAGGCCTCCTCCAGCTGTGCCAGGGTGTTGGGTGGGGTCAGGGGAGGCATGGCAGGGTCCTGGGTAAACGGGTGGGCACGGGTGGCAGCTCGGGGGTGCCCGCTGCTGCCCCCCCACAGGTGGTGCCGGCCAGCTCGCTCGGCTGGGGCCACACGAGCAGACTCCAAGGGGTAGGCCTTTTTTGTGCTTTGGGCACTGAACAAGGAATGAGGAGAGAGAAAGCAAGAGGGAAAAAAAAATGGGTTAGAAAAACTGGAAAATGTGACTTCAAGAGAAACTTCTCTATTCTACCTTCAGAGAGAGAAGAAATGACTACCACAACACGAACAGGGGGCACTGCCAAAACATGGCATTTTTGTGGTCTGCTCAGTGCAGCGTTTAATATTAAGATGGCAGGAGCAAAGTCACATTTGTTTCCGGCTGACTGCAAAAATAGCCACCCCCACAATACCTCCGGTGACAGCCGACCCTCGTGGGGTGGCGCCCAGCAGCGGCGGTGTTTACCTATGGGGCTTGGGCTTGCTTGGCCGCGCAGTCTCCAGCATCCACTGCCAGACATCCTGCGACCTGTCTCCTTCCGCCCCGGGCAGCTGCAGCGCCGCGGCTCCTTCCCTGGCGGCCAGGGCCAGGCTGGGCTCGGCGGCCCTGCCACTGCGCTTGGGCAGGGTGCTGCCTCTGTTGCCACTGCGGGGACGCAGAACCACACCCCTTACCTCGTGGGACAGACGGGAAGGTGGTGGGGTGACATGCACCGCCCCCCGCCCTGTGCCCTCCTTCCTGGAAACAAAATGCCTGTGCCCTCTGACCCCACCTCACACCTGCCCGGGGCTGTGGTCGGGAGAGAAGCCCCCCAGGGACAGTCCAGTTGCCTGACACTTACCCGAACTGGTCCCCCGGTGCGGGCTCTGGTGCCTTGGGGTGGCTTTTACACTTGGAGTAGCAGTAATACTCGGGGCCCCCGGGGCAGAAGCAGCGCACCCTCTGTGCGGCCTCCGCCTCGATCTCCTCCTTGGTCTTGGGGATGGCGTGGTGGTGGATGTAGTGGTGGTGGACGTGCTTCGTGGTCTGCTTGGTCACGAAGCCCTTGGCCCCGAGGAGAGGGCAGCCGGCGGGCGAGGCGGCGGGGGGCAGCTTGCCCCCCGCTGGGAGGAGAGGGTGGTACAGCTGCTGGTGGTGGTGGTGGTCAGGGGAGCGGGAGCGGGGGCTGTAGCGACCGACCCCGGGGGACTGGCAGCCGGGCGTCTTGAGGACCCTGGACAGGTGGTCGTCCAGAATCGTCTGCGGGTCCTCTTCGTAGCTGCCGGAGGGCAGGAGGGAGAGGGGGTGCTGGGTGGGCACCCCATCCCGCGAGCCCAGCATGAGCTCCGAGCCCTCCTTCTCTTCATCCTGGAAGGGAAGGCCGCAAGGGGGCGGACGTGAGCAAGAGGGACCGTGGCTTGTGGGGGTGCTGGGGGCCTGCGTGGGAGCTGGGGCCTGTGGGGGGCTGGGGGCCTGCGTGGAGCTGGGGGCCTGTGGGGGGTGCTGGGGCCTGCGTGGGGCTGGGGGCCTATGGGGGGTGCTGGGGCCTGCGTGGAGCTGGGGCCTGCGTGGAGCTGGGGGCCTGCGTAGAGCTGGGGGCCTGTGGGGGGTGCTGGGGCCTGCGTGGAGCTGGGGCCTGCGTGGAGCTGGGGGCCTGTGGGGGGTGCTGGGGCCTGCGTGGAGCTGGGGGCCTGCATGGGGGCTGGGGGCCTGCGTGGGGTGCTGGGGCCTGCGTGGGGCTGGGGGCCTGCGGGGGGTGCTGGGGCCTGCGTGGAGCTGGGGGCCGTGGGGGGCTGGGGGCGGGGCCAGCACTACCTCTCGGATCTGCTGCAGCCGCTCCTCCAGGCTGTGCCGACTCTCCAGCTCCAGCTGCAGCTTCTCCAGCCTGGAGATCAGCTCGGCTGCGAACACGGCGGGGTCCACGGGGGTCATCTCCTTGGGCAGGCGGTGGGTTCTCTACAGGGCACCGGGAGGAAAGGGTCGGGGCATGCTCAGCCGGCCGGCGGCGGCGAGGGGGCGCCGGGGCTGCAGCCGGCGCGGGCGCTCGGTGGCTCCGGGCTCGCCGAGCGCCGGGCTGCGGGAGCTTTATGCGGCGGCGCCCGGCCTCATGGAGCGCCATGGTCCCCACCAGCGCTCGCCTCGGGCAGGAGCAGTTGGTCGCACTCCGAGAGGCCCCGCTTGTTCTCTCTGTAGTACAACCAGCCCATCAGTAGCTACTCTGAAGTAGAAAATCTTCAAAGACTGTTGTCAAACATCAAAAAAAAAAAAAGGCAGCCTCTGAGGTGGGGAGGGGAGAGAGACCAACTCAAGGAATAAGAAGTGGAGTCTAAACAGAAAGGGAGTTGGAAATTTAAAAAAATAAGATGGGAAGGGAGGCGGGGGGAGGGAAGGGAGGGAAGGGGAGTCGCGCCGGATCAGAAGCGGGGTAATTTATTTCCTGGCCGCACACTGCGCACCTTTGAGGCGGTGTTGTCTCAACACTGTCCTAGATCTGCCTGCCCCCCCCCTCCCGCTCTTTGTACAGAAAATGAAGAAAGCTGCTGCGGGCTAGTAGCAGAACACTGCTGGGTTTGGCTGCCTGAAGCTGCTCTGTCAAGGGAAAAGGGAACATCTCCAAATCAAGTGCGGAATATGAAAAGGCACCAGATCGCCTGCCAAAAGCAGCAAACAGAGAACCCCCACGGCCGCCTGGCTTTCTAGCCTCTTGTCATCTCGCCCACCCTCCTCCCCGGTCGTCCTGCCTCCTTCCTCATTTCCCTCTTGCTTTGCCCTTTTCTCTGGGGTGCAGTGGGGGCAGCGGACAGCCAACCTTCGAAGGCCAGCGTTTCCCCCGCCCCTGGGTGGGCCTCCAGGGGTAACCCGTAGCTGCAGAAGCTCGGGAGAAGGCAAAAAGGATCCCTCTGTAGGAGATGGCCCTTCTCACACAGGCTGGCTCCATGCAGCACACCCCCCTTCCCATTAAGGGGCTGCCTCATGGAGAAAAGTCGATCTGCACAACCCAGGACAAAATCATCTCATTTATAAGCCTGGGTATTAGACGTTTTCTTTATTAATACACACACACCCTTTCCCCATCAAAAAAAAAATTATATGAATACTGTTGTATTTGGGACGTACTGTTATTGAGGGGCATGCTGGAGGTCCCAGAAAAGCACTCTTAATATGCTAATTTTAGGACAACGTTAAATCTGCCCCAGACTATGCAAGGAGGCTCAATCTGGGCACTGCCACAACGCAGGATCAGCCATTCAGCGTTCGTTTTCTAAATGCAACATAACCCATGGACCAACAGGATTCTCAGAAGCGGGTGGGAAGGATTCATGACCGGATGCCGCTCCAAACTGGACACTCCCCTCCCTCAGGAGCAGCACCCTTGCAACCTGGATCTCAGAGCACTGCCAGAAGCCCAGCCCATGCAGACAGTGGGGCTCTCTTGCCTACAGGGGGCCACATGCTAGTAGCTGCCTTCCAGGAGGTGGAAATAGAGGGGAGGCCCAGAAAAGTCCTTCATGCCATGCTAACCTCTCATCTCAATCACAGGAAGAAGCTGCTCATTTCCAAACACTCATTCATCCAGCACCTATTAGGTGCAGATTCTACAGCAGGGACGGAGTCACATTCTGGGACTGGAAAAAGAAGATGGTATAGCTGCCCTTCAGGGCTTCAGAAATCAGCAGGGGAAATGGCCAAGTACAGAGACTAACGGATGCTGAGATGACTGAGCCAGGCGGTCAGCACAGCAATGTCCCTGGGGTGCAGCTTCCTCCCCAGGAGCAGGGACTCCTCTAGCCCCTCCTCATCCACTCATTTGTTCGTGCATTCGTTCAATCAACAAGTGTTTACTTAAACACCTATTATGTGCCAAGCACTGTTCTAGTTCCTGTGGCTATGGAATTTAACAAAATAGATAAAACTTCCTGCCTTCAAGGGGCTTCCACGTAGGTGGGAACCCAGTGAGAAGCATGGATGATCTCCTATCATGTCCTGTTTCCAGGAAGGAACAGCTTTGGTTTCTTTCTCATAACGAATTTCCTTTTATGAATTGAGAAAATGGAAAGGTTCAAGAGGTCATGTCGAGCTCCCCTCTGCCCAGCATCGATCGCACCCCAACAAACCATGTGGCACCTCTTGCCTGGTCTTCCCTTCCCTCCTCGCTCTCTAGCAGGACCCAGCACTGCCCTCCCACAGTCTCCTTGCCCCCTCCTCTCCCGTCCCTTTTCTCCAGGACTCAACAGGCTGAAAACAGCCACCTCCCCCTCTAGACTATACTCACCGGGAAATGAGGTAGAGACACTTGGCCATTGGCCTTCACGCTGCGATGCATTTCTCTCTGGAGCTGTTTCTTACTCCCCACGCGGTACGGAGGGATTCCATCTCTAAGGGAAGGGAAAAGACAGAACCCGCCGGCTCACGAGGCTGATCTCCACTCGGGATGCTCACAGGCCGTGCTCCGATCCCGCCAATCAATGGGGCCACACGCTTCCGTGAGAGCACACCCTGTCCCAGGCACCGAGGCCGTTCCCACGGGGGAAGATCAATCCACCATCAAATGGCCAAACCTCTTGTCCATCAATCATCTCTGGAAACGGCTCCCTCTTGGATTCAGGACCACTAACTTGGAAAGAGCGTGGTCAGCTCACCTCAGGCTGTTCTCTTGGAACTGGGTTACACTCCGGCTGACCCCCCCATTTTACAGGTGCCCAAGGAGATCCTAAAACCCCTTTGGCCCTCTCAACAGTCCATTGCCACCGCAACATACTACCCTGCATCAGGACCCCAGGCATGCCCACAGAGCGTACCAGGGGAAAACCCAGCAGGCAGAGGGGCCAGACCCACAGAGGGCTAGGACGAGCATCAGCGAAGCTGTGTGATTCTTAAACACACCCCCTCCCTGTCATTTCCAAATGTCTTCCTTGTATGAACTGCCACAGGGTACCTTTGGGCTCCTTCCTTCCCTCTGCTCTAAACCCTACCGCCCCAACCAATGAAGTCTCAAAGACATGACCCACATGGGCATAGGGACAAAGCCCCTACTTGTGGCATTCTACGCAATTCCTTCCAATGCCTGAGTACCTACCACATGCCAAACCCTGTTCTAGGCCCCAGACACACAAGCAGTGGAGGAGGAGACAGAAATGCAGGACTACCTCATGAAGCTGCGTCCTAACGGGGTGGCCCAGGCAATTAGCAAAAATCAAAAAGCAAAACCTATAGTATGTTAGAAGGTGGTAATTAGCATGATGAAACACACGGCAGGAAATGGAGAGAGAGGGCCACTGGGTGGGGGGTGCAATTTCAAAGTTTTGTCCCCCCCACCACGTGATCCTCACTGGTTATGGGGCATGCCAGGTGGCTCCAGGGGCGGAGCAGCGTCAATGAAGTCTCTGCGAAGCCCTGAAGGCAGTGTGGCCCCTGCGTGCGTCGTCACATCTATAAACAAACCAGAGGAAGAGGACGAACCGCCTGCACTCTGTGCTCCAGCTAGTCTTCCCTAGAAACGTGACCTGGTGCTGCTGGGATTTGCTAAAAAAGGATCTTTTTCTTGACAGCCGTCCAATGGTCAAGGTGGGACAATGTTCCTATCACTGTCCTTTCCGGAGGCGACTTATTCGCAAAAGCCTCATGTTCAAACAGTTCCATACTGGGTCACACTTGGAGGCTGTCAACATTGAAATGAGGTGTTTGGCTGTTTTCTGTCCCTAGTGTTTTGCTCATCAGAGGGTGCAAGGGAGAACCACACAGCTGGCTCAGCAGTAGTGGGTGAAACCAGCAGTGCCTAAAAACACGCAGCAGCAAGCCAGGGCTGACCTCTGGCTCCTTCTCTGCAAGGCCCCAGAATCCCCGTGGCTGCATTTTCCAGAAGCCTGCTGGCCTAGGCTGGAGAAGGGGCCACCGCGGGGGGCGGTACAGAGCCCAGGAGATCGATGACCGGTTAGCCAAATCTTCGCTGAGAGGCACAGAGATCATCGCACTGAAGGTACAGGGCAGAAGGAGATCAACATCTAAAGTGAGGACTTCAACACACATGTGAGTCCTGACCCCGGGCAAGGCCAAGTCACCCAGACAGCCTCCTACTCACTGAGGCCTGGGACTTGACAGGGCCCCTGTGGCCAAGTAGGATAAAGGTTCCCAGTCCAGACTCTTACTGTCCCACCCGGAGCTCATTGACCCAAACTCGGTGTTTCCATCTTGGGATCCGTTACAGGACACGGGAGAAGAGGCGGTTCTCCAGAGCGTACCCGAATGAGCAGCAGAGCAAATTCCAAGCCAGGTGACCGACTCCAGCCCAGCAACAAACACCGAGTCCCTGCTGCGCGTCAGACACACCTGACACAGAGTCCAACTCCATTCGCACAGAAACCCGGATTCGCCACATTTCAGATGACCAGCGCCAGGCAGCAGCAGTCAGATCGAGGATCGGAATCCAAGCCACTGATGGACTCGAGAGCAGGTGTCTTTAACCCATCGACCCACCCTCCTAGCCTCGACTGGAGAAGCCAAGCTGGGACTGAACGTGGGCACTGGACATGCTGAAGGGATGAGTGGGAGACCTGGTGCATATCCCAGAAAGTGCTCCCCACTACCTAGTACTCACTGGCTACTGAGCATGCCAGGTGGTTCCCGAGACAGTGCACGTCCCCATGTCTAACCTACATCCCTTGGGGTGGGGCTGGGGGTCCCACAGACTGGGCTCAAGCTTATCTAAGCAGCTCCTGCTGCGGCAAAGGCCTCGCCCTTCTGCTGACCAGCCCCTCTCCCGGGGAGATGAGAGGGATGTCTCTGCCCCGGGCCTCTGCCTGACAGCCTTGGGGACCCGGAGTCCAGCACCACATGGACCCCACTGTGACCCACACAAGGCTTCAAGAGCCCCAGAGGAGGCCCCAGCCACCCTTCCAAAGCTCTTGCTCCAGTGACCCCCGTCCCCTCCCCTTTCCTCCCAGATGGAGCGCAGTGGGGAGGCTTTTATACCTTTTTTTTTCCACATAAGTTAGGAAGAAAAGAGAACTGGGGAACACAGGTATGGGGGGCACTGGCTGACTGGAAGACCAGAGGAACACATGATTTTGAAGCTCCCCCTCAGCCAACCCACACACACACACACACACACACACACACACTCAACTTGCAGAGGCTCAAGGAAGCTTGACAGGCGCCTTTAAGGAAAATGTGGCTTTAATTCTCCCCCCGCCAAGACTCTTCTTCCAAAACAGCCCCTCATTCCAGAAGGGGGCCTCTGCTCTTTGTCTTCAGGCTCTAAAAGTCTACGATCAGCTTCCTGGCTGCTCAGAACTGTGAGCTGAAGAGCAACGCGCTCCGGTCCCTACACAGCCTCCTTTCATTACAAACATCTTAGCTAACGAGCCCGGCTGCCGGGCCCAGCTGTTTCTGGGGAGCACCGGTTTTGAAGTGTGGACTCCACTTAGCTGCGGTTGAAGCCGAGCCAATTAGCTTAGCCTTTTGACTCCGCTGTGCCCGGCCTAACCTGAGTGTCGCTTTCCGGCGACTTTGAAATCGCAGGCTCCTGCGCGCGGGCGGCCACTCGCATTTCCATTTGGCAGCCTCTCAGAGGGCCGCCTCTGATCACAGCCAACATCAAAAGCCTGGTTTGTAAGATAAGGTAATATTTGAAGTTCACACGGATGCTTTCCCTGGTGTCCAAAGTAAACCCATAAATAAGATATAAGGAAATAAAAATAAATAAATAAAGCAGCGCGCGCCGCCCTGTGCGAAAGGCGAGGGAAGCGGCGTGCACTGATTTCGGGGACACCCCGGACAGACGCGGCCTCCCGTCCAGCGGCTCCGGACCTGGCGGCTCTGCGCCAGGCGGCCGCACCGAGCGACCTCCGCGCCATCTCCGCGCTCGTGCCCAGCCACCTCCTGACACAGAAGCCACGCTTGGGTGGCAGAGGACCTGCCGCTTCTAAAGTTTTCAGCCCCTGCTTCACCCTCCCAGGCCTGATGCCCGGGAGTGCCCCTCCCCCGGCCTGTCCCCAGTGCTTCAGAGATTGGCTGGGAATCTGGCAGTTAACTTTTTTTAAAAAAAAAAAAAGAAAGAAAAATTAAAAAGCCATTTCTTCCGAGAATGTAGGTTTCAGACTAACAGGCTCGTAAAGCAGCCTTCTCAGAGGCCCACTGAGACTCGAGCCCCAGCCATCTCTCACAGGGCATTGCACTTGGCGGGAAAACAGGAGTCAGCCGTGGGCTTTGGACGAAGGCAGTGACTTCTTCAAAGCCCCTGCCCACTCCGGACCTCCGGCCCGCGCACAGCTCCCTGGAACAGCCAGATGCAGGCGGCCCTGCCCAGCTTCTACCCAGGCCTCTTGCAAAGGCCCCCGGGACTTAATTGGTTCTGTTGCAAATGAGACGATTGCTTCCCTGGGTTTGTGTCTAATGAACTCCAACCTTCTGGAGTCTATTGAAGGCCGCCTGTGACCCCCTCTTCCCCTCCCCAGCCGCCCCCCCCCCCAACTCCCAGCAGGGCAGCCAGCCCCCGCCCAGCCCGAGCTGGCCATTGTGACCAGGAGAAACAGCCAGGGCCTTTTCATGCTTTATGGGGCGCTCCTATTCACTTGTTCAAGGAAATTTCAAAGGGGCCTGCTACCCTCTTCTCCCCTCTAAGCTTCCCCGGATGAACAATGGGCTGAAAGCGATTCAGCCGGCTTTTCATCCCCACACGCTTTATTCCGCGCCAGGCCCACAACTGGCAGAGCTCTGGAGAGGGTCTAATCCCAGCCCTGGGAATCCTGGGTGACCCGCCCGACACGGGGCAGATCACACACTCAGGGCCAGCCGGCCAGAAAGTGCCCCGCAAGCCCGGCTCTCAGGGCACGCCAAGTCTGCCAGGTGGGGGAGCGGGGAGGGCCCTGGGGACCCCCAGTGCCTGGCAGCTTGACACCCACAGGAACTTCTAAGCCTAAACGCTCATCCCATCTGACGGGGCTATGGACACCCCCTCGTCCTCCACTACAGGCAGCACCAGGCAAACGGCCCCTGGGCAAACCATTCCCGAGAGACGGTCCTGCTCTGATGACACATGCCCGCCCAGCTGGCATAGACGTGCCATCTGATAACCTGCCCACTTGATTGGGGGAAGGCTCAGCACCACCCAGTGCTCAGCCCCCAGGTCTCCGAGCCTCCCAGGTACCTTCTCTTGGTGTTGATGGACTGGTTCACTCATCCCCAAGCCAAGGTAGCTTCACCCCAGGAGGAATCCCTGGGGTTCTGCCACTTGGGGCCCATGGGAACGTCCTGTGCCCCAGAGAGAAGGCTGCTAAGGGAGCGATCTGCCCTCTTCTGAGGGATTCGTCTCTATCAAAGTGGCCTTACCAGCCGCATTCTAACCCTCACCGCCCAGAACAGCTTCAAAGTCACCTCCATAAAAGTGAGGACGCTTTTCTTTTGGGGATAAAAGAAGAGGGGTGCAGGGGAGAAATTAGAACTTGCTTCCTACCCCCTAGCCCACCCACTGAAAAAGCAGCAGTGTGGGTGGATCACTAATAAGTAAAAATAAAAGAAAGTCCAAGTGGCTCAAAGGTCTCGCTATCAACTGGTCCCCACAAGTGTCTTGTGCTGGAAACGTTCGTGCTCGGGGGTAGAGGGCAGGAGGCAAAGGGCAGGGGCTGGAGCTGGCCTGGGGCTGTGGGGGCATGGGCCCCCCCAGCGGGAAGCCCAGGGCTGCCTACCCTTCGGCCGGGGCCTGGTGAGGCTCCGCCACGTAGGGGCCACACCCACCCACCTCATCCAGAGCCCAGAATGACACTTCGACGGGGATGGAAATGAAACGCAGGCAAGGACCAGGAAGCCAGCAAAGAAGAGTCTCTCAGAACAGCAAACAGCCCTGGCCAGTTTGGCTCAGCGGTTAGAGTGTCGGCCCGCAGACCAGAGAGTCCTGGGTTCGGGTCCACGTACCTCGGTTGCAGTTTGTCCCCCGACCCGGTTGGAGTCATGTGGGTGGCAACCAGTTGATGGGTCCCTCTCACATCTATGTTTCTCTCTCTCTCTTCCTCCCTCTCTCCCTCCCCCTCTATCTGAAGATGAATGCAAAAATGTCCTCAGGAGAGGATAAAAAAAAAAGGCAAAGCAAACAGAAGCCTGGTCTTCCATAAACTACCTTTGACTTAGTCCCTCAATGCCCTCGCTCAAATCCAGCTTAACTTTAGTTTACACACAGTGCTAAGGCTCCCCCGAAACCCACAAACTAACAGGGGCTGGAGGAGGGATGCGAACTGTAGCAACCACACAGAGAACAACAAACACCACAACCAAACGGGGGGGGGGGGGCATCCCTGAAAACAGGTGGGGGGTGTCACTGTGTCAGAGCAGACAGCCTTACAGAACCTGATAATCTATGACGTAATACAATGTAGTTCGAAAACAGACCTTGATATTAATTATTTGGATCAGTAAAGGCAGAGCAAGAACCAGGTCCGTCAAAGGACACTTTTTCTCAAGGATGGATCCTTACGGGGTTCAGCCCGACTTACTCCGTGGAACTCGTTCCTCCACGTTGGATGAAAGACGTGCACCCCGACTCTATTGTTCCCCAAGCCCAAAATGCTCTGCTTTGATTAAAGTGCAGTGTTTCACCCCAAGGATCCCTCTCCCTTTACCAACAGGGGAATCTGGGGCAACACAATAAAAGTCACCAGGATTTGAATCGATAGTCGAGTCCCGAACCAACCTCATCCACTTTGCTCCCAAGTGGTTCCACGCCACCAACGGGACGTGGGCCAGTGGAGGCCAGATAGCTTCAGACAACGTGGAAGAGGCGGTCGGTTTTCAGGAAGGTGAGGGAACGCTCTCGAAGGAAGGATGCCAGAACTCACACAGCTCAATGGGTTTGCCTTTTGAAAGCTGTTCCCTCAGTGGGAGAAATTACTACTCGGAAACATTTGTGGGGAAGCCTTCCAAGAACATTTCTAGAATGGTGGTTCTTAACCGGGGATTGGGTGAAAGCTGTTGGGGAGTTCTGCCCGAGGCCAGGCTCCCTGTCTTGTGTCCTGAATCAGAATCTCAAAGGATGGCAGGGGATGGGAATACCCAGCCCACCATCATCCCCCCCCACACACACACTATGAAACTAACACAGAATGTGCGCCTTTCTCCGTCCACAGAGACCACCACTGCATGACCACAAATGACCGAGCACTCAAAGCATGACCCTGCTGATGACCTCATCAAACTACCCTGATGACTGAGACTGCTTTCAGAAATTAAAGCCCCCAGCTGCGAGAGGGCCAGATCAGACTCGACTCGGGGGGGACTTGGGAGTAGAACCCCCACCGACAGAACGGGCGTTCCTCACCGAAACAGTCACCTGCACGACGTCCATCTGAGCACATTCACGAGGGACGTTCCCTTTCTGACCCCCACCTTCAATGCCTTTTCCTTCAGAAACCGTGAAGACCTAAACACAAACCCTTCTGATGCCACCCTGTCCCCCAACTGCTGGCTCTACATATGGGATGCCTGGCTTCGAGGCTGGCCAAGCGCTTCTGCCCACAGGGAAGGTGGGCACAATGACCACCAGAAGATGTGTTGTTAAACTCAAGGAATTCATAGATCGTCATCTTAACCTTCTACGTCACTTCAGTTTTCTTGTTAAGGTACCACCCAACTTTCCCTTCAAGGCTCTAAGCTTACCACCACCCACCTACCACGCCACCCTCCTCAACCACCAAACACATGTCCACGGGTGGGATCTGCAAAGCCAGGTGAGGGTGGCTGAGGTCCCTGCCCGGCGGGCCCGGTGCGTCCCACTCCAACCATGCCCATGATGGGGACAGCAGAATACTCACACGCTACTGTCCGTCATGGACATGGAGTCATCCGTCAGTGCGTCACTGGAGATCTCGCTGTCATTGGCGCTGGTGGCGGGTGCAAAGACGTAGCCAGAACCCACGTGGTATGGGTTAACAGGGTCGCTCCTCTTGAAGGACCTGAGGGAGAGCACGACAGGGTGCGTCACTCATTCTCAGCAGACGCCGGGAGCCAGGCGAGCCCAGGGCTGCAAGTGCGCAATCCCACGCACTGTTCAACGCCAACCGCTGCCCAGGGCCAGGTGCTCTCTGGGCAGAAAGCAGGGGCCTGTTGAGCCTGATTCGCCCTCGGGTGAAAGCAGGCTGGTTCCTCTGCCCCGAAAGGAAGGGCTGCTAGGGGACAGAGGACCCCATGGCAGCCCAGGGGATCCCACAAAGTTCTAAATACACACTGACGTAGGGGAAGGATCCGGACTCTGCTCTCGGAAGAGAGGCTACAGAATCGAGGAGAGTCAGTGGAGAGGGGGTGTCTTCCTCTTCCCCGCCCCTTATCCAAGCCCGCACCAGAGGAATACAATGTCAGGTCCTAAGATATCTTAAGTTTCCAAGGTAACTGTTAGCGTTGTTCTGAGACACAAACCCCTGGAGGCCTGGCACCGCCTTCTCATTTCAACCCTGGGCCTAGCAAGCTGGACAGATGGGGCAGAAAAGTTCAAGATGATGCCTAGGCCTTCCACCCCATGCGGCGCTGGGCCTCTGTGTGCCCTGCCCCCACAGGCCTCCTCCCAGGCTGGCTAAGGCCAGCCGGACCGAAATGAGCAGCACCACTGGTTCACGGGAGGCCCGGGCCTCTCCTCCGCTGGCCTTCCTTTTGTTTCCGCGGCCTCTGCCACCCCATTCTGCCCCCTGACCTCCTCCCAGAACAGCCAGTGTGCCTGCGCCCTGCTGGGCCACATACCTCGTGTCACCAGTGAGGGACTGAAGTGGGGGGAGGAGGAGGAAAGGGCCACTGTGAAGCCTGGCATGGCAGTGGCCTCCTGCACGAAGACCAGCGCAGTCCACGGGCCGCCACGTCCACGCAATGGCAAAGAGCCAACTGGAGGGGAATGGACCGGCCCCGAGAAAGGAACCGACCCCACCAGGCCACTGCAGCCGGCCCACACAGTGGCATGTGGTTGGCAGAAGAAAGGGACCAGGAAGGATCAAAGCTCCCTCACCTACCACGTGTCTGGCACTGTGATGGACAGTGCAGGTTACGTACCATGGCTGGCAGGGGCGTGTCACACTGAAGTCGGGGGACAGGGCGCCACAGGGGAGGCAGACACTGTTCCTGCAGGCCCACGAGAGCGGCGCACCTTTACACACATCAGCTCAGCAGTCCTCCAGCCACCTGGGGAGGAGCCCTGTGCCCCTTTCACAGGTGCGCCCTTGTGGTCCCACAAGCACAGCAGCCTAGCCCAGGTTCGAGGGTGGGCCCCAGGCCGGACTGGAAGGAGGGGTGGGGGTGGGCAGGGAGCTGTTGCCACAGTTTGGTTTGAGAGCCAAAACGGGGGGCCATTGCCAGACAGAACTGCACGCGGTGGGGGAGAGGGGGTCCCTGTCTCTCAGGAGCACGCACTCTTGCAGCTGGAGTGACAAGACCGACAAGTCACAACATTTCAGAGTCAGAATGAATCTGAGAAAGGGGCAAACCCAGCCCCCTCAGTGTAGAAACGTTGGTAAAAACCAACAGCCACCATTGGTTGGAAACTTAGTGTGGGCGGGGTCTTCGTTCTTGTCACTGTTCTGCACACACGGCACAGCGTGGGTGCTCAATGGACATCCGCTGCCCAATCATCGTTCAGCCTCACAACCATCCAAGGAGGTAATGGCGCCCCACGTGGGGCCCACAGCCTTCGACGAGGCCACCGGGCTGGAGACTCTCTGAGGAGCTGGGCTGGCAGGGACCTTGAGTCGCTGTACTGAGCTAGCCCGGAACAGAAAGCCAGATCTCAGAAAGGTCATGCAGATGCAGAATCGACTGGCAAGTGCAGATGGGGAACGCTGCATTTGAACCTATCCAGACCCTGGCCGAGTGACCTTGAACTGTCACGCGGATGCTCTGACCCTGTTCTCATAGCTGCAAAGGGCGGGAAGTCTCACTACACTACCTCCCAGGATCTTTATGACAACTGAATGAGGGTGGCAAGACCCTCCGTGCCCTGGAACTGGCCCCCATGTAATGAACCTGGATTCCCAGGCTCCAGGCTCGAGAGGTGCAGCTGCTTTCTCTGGGGAAGGAAGGAAGGGATGAGGCATGCCTCAGAAGGGAACTCAAAAAGGAGGCTGTTCTGTTTGTCACCAAAGGCAGAACAAGAGGAAATGGGCTGTATAAGTCAGAAAGAGAAAAGCGCTTCCTAACGGTCCGAGTGGACCTATGAAGTGAGTGGGGGCAGGTTACGGAATCGCCCACATCTTTCAAATAGCCCAGACTTCCCAGCTATCTGGGGTGTGTGCATGGTGCTACTGCTCAAAGCAACGTGGACAGGAGAGCTTCCTCAGGACCCCTTCCTGTGGTCAAGAACACAGTAACGAGTAAGTTCTGGAAGCCTTGTCAGGGAACAGAAACCAAGGGCACAAGAGTTGGTGCTGGCTTAGCTCCCAGCCAGCTGGGTGACCAGAGGCAAGTCACAGCCCCCACGATGTGGAGCGCCCCCCTAAGACACGTGCAGACGCAGATCAGACACGGCCATCTGCACGTCACAGCCTCTGAAAGGCCCAGCACGTGCACTGTAATTTGGGGGGAATCACAGGTGAACACTCCAAAAGTCCAACTGCCACCAGAAACAGAGAGCTCCCGCTCGTCCTCCCTCTGTGGCCTTTCTCAGTCGTATCATGACGCACGCCAGTGTGTCTACACGTTGGACGCCGTCCTGCGCAACTGGACTGTAAGCTCCACGCGGGCAGGGACCTCACGTGGGTCTCCCCACTGCTGACTGTGGGTCTGACCTGGGCAGAAACGCAGACCCTTGTGAAATCTCCTTAAAAAACTGCGACCAGTAGATGGGTTGCCGATAAGTTTTTTTTTGTTTTTTGTTTTTTTTTAGTCCAAAGGCGAAATACAAGATCAAAACAGCTGTAAATAGCATTCAAACACTCCACCGCTTGGGTGTTGCTATCTTTGTGGTGTTAACACATCAACCGTGTCCCAAGTGGAAGGGCTATAATTCACCCTCTACAGGGAGAAAATGACTCAACGGACATTCCTCCTTCTCCCGCCCCAAACAAAAAAGGCACCTCACTCAAATCCCATGTGTGCTCCCAGCTCCCGCTCCTTGTACACATGGATCCCAAAATAACCGCGTCTCCCTGCTTCCAAAATAGAGGCTACTGTGTGACCAGTCATTAAAAACGGAATATACCGCTCTCAGCTCAGCTGACTGCAATGAAGTGTTTGCACTTTTCTACAATCATAACAAGATGAGGCAGAGGAAAGGAGGAGGCAGGGTTGGGGGGGCAAACTCAAGTTTTAAGAACCCCAAACTTGATAAAAAATCCCCACGTAATTTTAAGAAAACGGATCAGAGCTGTTTTCTTGTGATTACTTCAAAACAAAACACAACACAAAAACGGAAAGAAACGCCACCATGTTGCGGTAATTGTGCCCAGATGCTCTGATCATTTCTTCAGGACTGTCGTGCTCCCAGCTGCTGGCAGGATTTTAAATTCCTGGGGAGAGCGGAGGCCTATGCTGCAGACTCCACTGGGCGGACCCAGTCTGCAGCTTCAGGGTGCAAGGGTGTTCAGCTGTCAGGTAGCAGAGGCTCCTGCGGCCTTATCTGCTGGGGAAATGGTTTCTGCCTCCTCCCCGCCCCCCAGCCTATTCTTATCTCTCATCTGGATGAGATGGTGGCCTCTGCCCCTCCCCAAACACCAGGGCAAGCCCCCGACAGAGAGCACAACAGAACTGACCTTGGGGCCTCTTTCTGGGTCCCCCATCAAAACAATGCAACTTAAAAGGTATGTGCTTCTAAGGCTGTGTGTTTGGGGCTTTCCAGAAGCCCTGTGACAGTTTATTCCCAAAGTCACTACTGTCTTCAGCAAGCACTTTCCAAGGCAAGCTCAAGGGGCATTTGGTGAGGGCTGGGCCTGCGAGGGCATGGGCAACCGGGCCCCAAGCAAACAGGCGAACTTTTACAAGTGCATCTTCGCAGACGGCCTCCGCCAGACCTTCCATCCTCTAATTGTGGCCTACTGCTTCCAGCATATCTTTCCTATGGCATCATTTTCTTTGATAATTGAAGCCAAGCTTGATTCCAATGGCTTCGCACAAAAATGGGCCTCATCAGCGAGTTCTTTGAGAACAGGAGGCGCTTGGAGCCAGCAGAGGGCCGTCTGCTGGGCCGGGCTCATTTTAAGTGAGGCCAGAGCAGAGGGTCCAACGAGACACAGAGGAGACCTGCCTTGGGTAGGGACACACAAGGGCCTGCAGGACAGCAAGGACGCAGGGAGCACTCTGGGCGCCCCACGCGTCTCCTTCCCAAAATAACTGCTGGGCGGAGCTCCCAACCGCACAGCCCCCTTCACACACACCTCGCCACTCTGTGTGTTTGTGTGATGGGGTTTGTACACGTGCTTCTGCCCACAGGTCACTCTGGCTCTGGTTATTTATAGAGACCATCAAAAGCTCCAGCCTCCCACTCAACCACTCGAAAACCAGAGTCCTTCCCTCTGAGGATAACTCCTGCTCTTCCGTTCCAACTATTTATATTAAACCTGACACCAAATCAGTAAGGACACAAACAAGTCATTAAAAATGAGGCTCCTTTGAGTGCCCAGGGTAAACACAGGGCTTGGAAGGCCAGCAGGGCTCTGGGCATCCAGCTGCCAGGCCTGAATCTCAACAGCTGATGGAGGGAGACCTTCAGCAGAACCAGTTCTTTTCTGTTTCATTCATTTTACTAACTTCATACAAGTCCATCCCCTATGTCGGGCACCTTGCTTGATGAGTGAGCATATTAGGAGGGGAAGGGGGACTTAAAGAATGAGCTAGGGTCCCTACATCCTAAGAACTAGCTGGAAAGACAGACTTCAGTTCAGCAAGCAGAGAAAACAGACATGGGAAGGGGGAATACTCTAAAACTTTACAATGAATAGGGGCTAGAAACCAAGAGTCACTCTTTAAAAGTAGTATCTTAACCTGGTTGCCTTTTTCATATACCCAGTGGTTATCATTATTGAATTATATTAATTATGACACTTTACATACATCTGTATGTAAATAATAGCAACCCATGACATACAAACCTAATAGTAACCCATGACATAGAAACAGAGAGGATGGTGCCCACCCATTTTACAGATGGCATACAGGATTCAGAAAGACTTAAATCCAGGTAATAAATGGTGGACAAGGCTGGAACCCAGTCCTTCAATTAATTTGGGGCACCCCCAGATACACCGCCGTACACTTGAATGTCTTGCATGTTAGAATGAAATTTGGACGTGGCTTAAATTCTCTTTGACAGTGCTGAGCTAAGCTATCTGGGCTTCACAAAGTCCTGGTAAACCATTTCATTTCAACCCAACAGTGGAAGAAAGCACACACAAACAGAGCATGGAAACTCGAGACGGGTGGGAAAAAAGGTGCCATCTATATATTGATGACACCCACAGTTCACAACCAAGAAGGAAAACACTGGAGACACAAAGGATCTTTGGCCCTGGCCTCCAGGATCAAAAAAACTTCACAAGAGTAAGCTTCTCAAAGTTTAATCCTGGTAATACCCAGCTGAGGCCTTTGGAAGGAGGAGGGGGCACCCTCAAGCCTGAGTCTGTTGCCCACCCACGAAGGGGAGGGGTCACAGCAGGGTCCCGCCTCCAGTGCTTTCTCCCTGATGACATCCCGAACCACACACAGTGCTATTTACAAAGGTGACACTCAGGGTCCTGCCACAGAAGGCCGACTGTTGGAAGGCCCAGGAGCAGCGGCAGCCTTACCACCCACAGGCCTGAAGTAGTCTCCGCAACCACTGCCCAACTGGAGAGCAGAGACCAGCAGGGGTTTTCCTCAAATGTTCACCTAATGGCATGGGGCAGCCGCTGCAGGTGCTCGGTGACTGCCCAGCCAGAGGCCAGACCCAGTACCTTCCTCCAAAACAACCTGAAACCATAAGCTTAAAGATGCTGTAACAATTTCAGGTGATTTTAGGCTTCTGGTGTAGACCAGATGTCTGCGAATGGCTCCCAGGGATATAAGAGCACCCCCTGGTGGTTAGAAAACGAGCCGAGCCCTTCCCTCCCTGTGAAGTCAACTAACTTGGCTGCCCCCTAGATCACTGCTCCTAGATTCAGACCTGGCTGTCCTCCCCTCCAGGGACAGGGCAATCTCTACAGAGGCAGCCGGACTGTAACACATGGAAAAACACACCGTGGCTAGCAAGATAAGCCATTCACAGACAGCAATCAAGGGCCCGCCCCCCTTCCCTTTGCATGTCATAAGCAACAACCTAGAATTAAGAGGCTCCGTTCTCTTTTTAAATATTCAGAAGGCGAGGGAGGGAGAGAAACAGGAAAACTCGTGCTCATAGGCAGTCTGAAACTGCCTTCAAGAATCCCAAGACTTGGCCATTCTGTAAAACACTGTCTTTGAAGCCCCAAAAAGAGAGAAAGTACTCCGGGGCCCCACTCTTCTCTGGCCAAGACCTCTGCTCCATCAACACCAAGCAACAAAATAGTCAGCTGAGGTCTGCCCCTCAGGCTGCAAACATTTCAAACCTATTTTCATATACCAGCTGAGGGGCCTTCGGGACGGTCACAGGGCTTTCCCTAGTCAGGAGGGTTTCTGGCTGGGTAAATACCTAATTCTACAAACAGACCCAATTGCTGGCTCTTATCTTCACATAAAAGTTCAAAAGATCCCACTTACCCCCACATCCAATGGGTACACACATTATTTCCTGTGTCTCCACCACAACCCAGCTGCCTCCCTAGCCACATTAATTCCACTCTCTGCTGATGAGTGGTGAATGACCCCTTCCAAAACCGGTGCTTACTGTATTTGGTGACTCAGCGGCATCAAAAGCTGCTGTTCTCTCTCTCCCCCACCCCCTTGCTAAGACTGGTCCAGGAAACTAAGTAGCCCGCACTGATGAAGACTGCAGGCATGTAAGTGTGTGTGCACTTTAAACAACAAAAAGCAAGGTCAAAGCATTCATGGCCAGTGATCCTGGCTCTGAACAGATCTGTCAGCCTCTGCAGCACATGCATCCAAAGCATCTGCAAAGTCCATCCCCTCCACCCCCCACCCCTCCACCCCCTGCCAGTCTTACCTGTATCCATTTTCCACAGTTTCCGTGGACCTCACATTCGCTGTGGCCCTCAGAGTTTTGCTGGATAAGCCAACCACAGTGGGTGAAAGTTTGCATTTGAAGTCAGCACAAGTCCACTCCTCTTCTTCATTCAAGGTGGGGAGATAGCCACACACGACCCTTAGGCTCCCTAGTCCCCCGTTGCTCATATAAGCTGTGTTTTCTCCCCCACTCCTCACATACTCGAGGTATATATCAGAAGTCAAAAACATCTGGTAGGCATTTTCCTCCATCACCGACTGGATCTCAGTTTGCGCCTGGTCAAACATGATGGAATCAATCTGTTGCTTCTTGATGCCATCTCTTATGTAAGTCTTGGTGGCAGGTTTCAGCTGCTTGGAGACAATGCTGTTGTTCTCAATGTACCTTTTGTAGATCGCTTTGGCTACTCGCAAAGTTTTGGTATCCTTCAGGTTCATCTGCCTGAATCCATTGCAGGCAAACCAGAAGTCTAAAGTATCCACACATTTCTCCCTCTCCAGGAAAGTCCGGAAGAGATAAGCACCGTCTTGATCACCCAACAGGGAGTGCAATGACTTGGTCCACCTGGTCAGAGGGGAATCTGGAGATGCCCGCCCCTCTGGCTCCCCCAACCCATCCTCATTCCGCCTGGTGTTGGAGGAGACAGGCATGGGTTTCGTGACCTGGCCCTTACCCACCGCTGGCTGGCAGGGTGGGGTCTCCCCTTCTTCCCCCGGAACTGGGGGCCGGGGAGCATCCTCTCGGAAGCTGCTGCTGGGGTCTGGCAGGCGAGTAACCAACACAGCGCTACTCATGGTGAGGGAGTTCTTCTCACTGAGTTTGGAAATTTTTTTCTTCTTCCAGTTCCTCTCAGCAATCAGCGTGGTCTCTCTTTCTCTCTCAAGTCAGCAGGGGCTCATCTGAGCCTCCTTTCTGGAAAGAAAAGGAAGGGGGGAGGTAGGAAGAGAAAAGGGCATTGATCTAATCAAAACCAGATCTACCCAACATCAAAGCAAGAAAGTAAACAGGCTTTTCAACTCCTCAAATTCAAATCAAGCAACCCAGCTATCTGCGAGGTGCTCATCTAAGGTATCAGACGCTTTTTCAAAGGCGAAATCTGAGCTCCCTGCACACTTGGGGGGTGGGTAGGGGAGGGGGTTGGAAGGGGAAGGGGCGGGGAAGGTAAGATGGGAGCCGGGAGGGTGAGAGGTGGGGGCGAAGAAGGGGCATGCGAGGTGTGAGACACAACCTTCCAAAAAACCCACTGATCCCGGAGCACACAGGACAGCTGGGCCCGCGCCTCCCCGCCGCTCCCTCCTCCCCTCCCTCCTTCCTCTCCAAGCATCAACTCCAAACACACGCACTCGAGCCGCAGGGCTGTGTGCAGGTGAAACCAATTTCGGTAAATTTCCCCACTCGGCTCTCCGCACAGATAACTCGAGCTCCAAACGTGCCCTTCCCCGGCATCTGGTTCCCATTCCCCCCACCCACCCCCTTCCCTCTGCGCTCCCCCTTCCCACTCCTTAAAAATTCAGATCTTCGACCGAGAAAGAAGCCCGCCCAGCACGGGGCGGAATGGGCTCCCGGACTCCCAGCTGGAAAACGCCCCCCCTCCCCGCCCAGCTGTAAATGCATTTCCCCGCGCCCCCACCTCCCGCCATGAATAAGCCTCAGTCTACACCTCTGTCTTCCCTGCTCCCCCAAGTCAGAAACCAACTCGCTCAGACGAGACTTTGATCTTCAAACTTTGCGAGACAGCAGAGAAGCCTTGGGACCCACCACCCCGTCTCCCCCGCCTCCCAAGCCACCTCCCGGAGCCGTGAACCCTACAAAACCGGATCAGAAGCCGTCTCACGGTACCGCTGTCTAAGCCAAGAATCCCAAACTCCACTGACCTCGATAAAGCCTGTCTCTTTTTTCCAAAAAGAAGTCTTATCTAACCAATAAACAAGACGCCTTCCCCAATACGGGAAGGATCAAACTAAGGAGGGGAGGGGTGGGCGGGGGAGGGGGGAGATGGGGCGCAATCCCGAACACGGGGCCGGGGTGGGTGCGTGCGGTCCCCGCCCGGGGCCTCAGGCCGCCGGGCTGCCTGCCGGCAGCGCTGCGCTACCCCGGCGGAGGGGAGGTGGAGCGGCCCCGTTACCTGGAAGATGAAGACGGCCGGAGGCCGGGCTCTCATCTCCGCCGAGCCCCCCCGAACCGCCCCCCGGCCCGCATCCAGTTGAACGCGTCCAGAGCTGTGGAGCGCGGGGCCGAAGCCCGGGGACGCGCTCGCAAAACCCCGACCCCGGCGCAGGTCGGTTCCCGGAGCCGCCGCTCGCAGAGGCGCCCGCAGCAAAAGCACGGGAAGCAGCAGCCTGGTCCAGAAATGGCGACGCGCGGAGTCTCTGCCTCTCCGCAAAAGGGGCCGGGGCAGGGAGGAGAGGCGCGGGGGACGCGGTGCCCGGGCTCGGGCAGCTCCAGCTCACACACTGAGCCTCGGCCAGCGCTCGGGGCCCCTGAGCGCGGACCAGTGACTGGGAGTGGAGGGGGAGAGAGTCGGGAGGAGAGGGGAGGGGCGGGGGAAGGGGGCGGAGGGAAGGGCAAGTGGGGGGCGCCACCACCCTTTCATCCCACCTTCCAAAGCCGTGCACACTCACAGCCCGACTCACATCCCATAACCACGACAGCGATGCGCTCCCCGGGGGGGGGATCTGCACCCTCTCCGCCCCCGCCGCAGCCGCCACTCGCAAAGTCTCAACCCTGGGGCCCCCGCCACCCTGCTAGGGAGGGGGCTCACGCGCAGAGCTCAGGGGGCATCCGGGCCAAGCCCCCAGGAACACTGGGCGCCGGGCCCGCTCTCTGCTCAGCGCCCGCCCGGAGCGCGCCCCGAAATAGCCAGCCTGCCAACTTCAAAGGGCCGCCCGGCACATCAAAGCGCGCGGGCCGCCCTGCCGCCCCTGCCTCCGCACTCACCATAGATCCGCGCGCGCGCTCCGCGGCGAGACCTCGCAGGCGCCCCGGGCAGGGCTCCGGCCCCGGCCCCCGGATCGGCTCGCGGCAGCCCTGGGCCCCCCCGGGCCGGTCCTGGCGTCGGGGAACATGGGGAGTCGCGCGGCAGGGGAGGGAGGTGCGGGGAAACAATCCCGGATTAGAGCGAGATCCACCGGCGAGGGAGGGGAAGCGACGTTCCCCGCCGCCCCTTTTATGCAAAAGATCCGAGTGGGCCTCCGCCCCCGCCGCGGCCGCCCCTGGCCCCTCCGGCCCCCGCCCGGCCCCCGCCCGGCCCGGCTTTCAACACAGGTCCTGTTTCCAGCAGTCACTCCGCGCACCAAATGTCCTCCGGGCGCTTCCAACAAAAACTGCGCTGTGGATTTAACAGTGCACTTCAAAGGCGCGAGCCGAGCGCACGGTCCTGAAAGGGAGGTACGCGCCGGCCGGACCCCGGGCCGCCACCCCCGTCCCCCCACCACCCTCCGTGGGGGCTCTCCGGCTCGCACCGCCCCTGTCGGCCGGCTCTCCGTCGGGCCGGACCCCTCCGTCCCCCACGCCCGCAACGCGGCTAGGCGCGACTTCGTCCCCTGTCCCAGGGGGGCCTTCTTTGAAGCAGCTTTCCTGGGGCCGCGCCTCCACCCCTACCTTTTACAGCAGGGCTTTGGGTCGGGGAGACGGGCACCTCGGACGCCGGGCAGCCACGAAATCCATTGCTATGAGGGGTTATTTTTATTTCTGAGCTTTTGGGTTGTTACTGAGTTGCCAGGACCTTATCAAAGCGCAGCGGGCTCCAGCCGACTCCCCCGGGCCCGGCTTGGGGAGCCAGTGATCCCGCCGCGCCAATCACAGCCGCGCTCGGCCGGCCCGCGCCGCCCGCCTTAAAGGGACAGCACCCGGCGCCCGCCCGGGCCGGGCCGGGCCCGCCCCTGCCGCACGCTCCGATCCCTCTGTAACCCGTCCCCCGCCCTCCTCCGCCCCCTGCCAGGCCCTCGCAGCCCCAGGGGCTCTCTCTGCCCGAGTTCTGATTTTGTCTTTCAAGCAAGTTTTCTGGCTTCTTAGGGCTGGCTTCCACCCCCCCACCCCCACCCCCGCCCCTTGCCTGCCCGGGTCCTCCCCAGCTCTGCAAAGCAACAGTTTATTGTAGCATTCTGGCCGACACTAGAACTGCAAGCAAGCAGTTTTTTTTTGTTTTTGTTTTTTTCTATCATCAAACACTTTTGCACCTCTATTCAAGTTTTCCTGGGAATGTGGGCTTGGAGGATCTTGTAAAGGAATTTCTAGTCCTGCGATCGATTGGCCAAGTGTCCACAGGGCGAACGCAGGTCGGACTTAGAAGGCATGTACATAGTGTGCACGCGTGTGTCTGAGTGTGAGTTAGGACCACGATGCGTGTGTTTGTAGATGTGGAATGGGGCTGTGAAGCTGCCAGCACAGGCCTGAGAGCTGAAGATGGGATCTGACACCTGGTTAGGAAGCATGCCTCAGTTCCCTGAAGATTCAACCCCAGCTTCCCAAACCGGCCATCAAACCCTCCTCTCTGCGCACATCGACCACCCTTCTGTAACACCGTATGCCCAACACGTTCTTGAAGCATCCCCCACCCTCCCATATGTTACATATTAAACAGACATGGAATGTCTTTTTCCCTTCCACCCGCAGTTTTAATGTATTGAAAACTCCTCACCCCACTGTCACCTTTGAATTCCTGCCCACATTCCCCCAATGTTTATGAGGCAAACCTTCTCTTCTCACTTAATGTAATGAGAAAATATGTTACAAACCTAGAACAGTATTCATTTACTCATCTATTGTTACAGAATGACTCCTCATATGACAAGCTAATAATTCACATTTCCTTCTCTTAAAAAACAAAGGTGTAACCAAATTTGTTCAAGAAATGGAAGGAAGAGCCCAGCACCACTGGAGCCGTGTGAGGCTTTGGATCTCCAGTTCTACTCACTTTTTCTTTATTTACTTAGAGAATGACAAGCCCTCTTTAATGCAGAGATGCCTGCGACCTGTCATTGGGCCTTCAGAACTTGGAGACGTGCAAGGCGACAGGACAAGAGAAATACCACCCATGCTCTGCTGCAAGGGGGTGAGCTGCTGTGTCTACCCCCACCCCAACCCTGCCCCCGGGGCTGTGCCAAGGGACGAGAGTTCTTGTTCACCTCTGGGTGCCAAGGTGGTGGCATCTCTGACACCTGCCTCTGTGTGTCCAGGCTCTGCCTCTCTGAGCTGCCTCCCCAGGAAGCCAGGCTGGTGTGAAATACAACCACCTCAGGGCAAACCGGGAGGCCCTGGGAGAGTGTGGCCAGATGACTCATCTCTGCCTTGGGGCACTGCTGGGTGTGAGGAACCGTAGCCAGTCCCCTTCAGGTCGTCTTCATCTAGGAGCCTGGCCTTCCGGGATGCCAGTATATGGGACCATGGCCAAGGGCACACCCACCCCCTTCAGTGACCCCAGGAGAGACTGAAGCAAAGCTGCCCCTGTGGTTCCAGGGAGTCTTCAGGCCACAAAGGGTGTTATTACAGGAACAAAAGTGTACACAGAAGGGAATGAATTGCCATAGAAGAGTCTATAATATAAACAGGGGCGTGTGTATATGCATACACATACGTAGGGGGAGGGGAGAACCAAAAATCAAAACATCCAAAATCAAAATAAACAGCCATCAGAAAGAGGAGGCTTTAAAAAAGGAAGTGGAAACTTGGTCTTCATGGGTGGTTTTCCTCCCCTCCCAGCTGTCCCCACTGACCCTTCACTGCCCCCCAGCCAGCACCAATCATCACAGACTCTGCCCCCTCATTATCCTAGGACTGTGACAGAACTGAAGATAGGGACTCAGGAGCAAGGCCTAGTTTGGATAAGATCTTCTCACTAATGAACCCCCTGAGAGCCTAGTTTCCGGAACAGGTGCTTAGTAACCTTGGGCCAATGAGTCCCCCATTCATCTCATCCCCCTTCCCAATTTCATATCTGGTGGAACTGCCCATCCAGCAGGAGGCTTGGCCAAGTGCTGAGAAGCCAGGAGCCCTCTGGAACCTCCAGGTCTTTGACTACTTGTTGATAATATTTCTGGAGGAGACTCCAAAGTCCTCTGTGAATACCCAGCCCCTTTCTCAAGATAGCAGTTTTCCATTTTCCCCTTCTCCCTGGCAGCAGGGGTATCATGTGACTTGTTGTAATCCTGCACGGTTGCCTGGAAACTGGAAAGCAAGGTGATGGATTTCTGCACATGCTCACTCTCCCCCCCTCCTTTAAGGAAAAACCCAACAGAGGATAAACAGCCCACTTTGCCTAAGTGCAGACAAGTTTAATAAAGCAGAGGGTAATTCTTTTCTGGAATTATGTACTGGGCTGAAATCCTAGAATCCCAGAAAACGAGGACTCGGGGCTCCCTGTGAGGCATCTGGCCAGATCTCCAACCTTTAGTCAGCCCCACAAATACCCCTCTGGAGGGAAGTCACACCAGCTGCGACTCAGAGGAGCTCAGACCCGGGACCTTGCTCACGGAGACTCTGGCTGGATTTCGTTTCTTTGGAAAGGTGCCACCTGAGACAATGCACCTTTGTTTAGAGAGGGAGATGGAGAGAGATACAGGTAACCTTTCCTAAGACTGCAGGTCACCTAACCATCTGAGTCCCCATGTGTCACCTGTAGAGTGAAAGAAACACCCCTACAAATGCTGTTGGGAGGCTAACCAATAAGTGCCCAGCACGATGTGTGATACAGTAGGTGCTCAAAACATCGTGGTTACTTCTGTGCAGTCACCCTGTTCCCTCAACAGTCTGTTACCTGTTCCAGGAAGAAACTCCCCAATCCCAAAGCAAAGATACTCGCCAAACAGAAGCCATACTTCCGGGGCTGGGAGCCTGGAAGCTGACCAACGAGGTCTTGCAGAGGTGACCCTCAACCCGAAGGTCCTCTGCAGAGAAAATCGGGGCTGGGAGGCACAGGGGGCTATGCCTTTCTGCGGTCTCTCAAACCCCATGCTATCCTGTACCCCAAAAGAAATACCAGAATTTTATCGCCGGCGGAGGGAGTGGGGGCTTAAAGTGTTATCTAATCCAACCCATCATGCAAAATGGGAAAATTAAGCAAAGAGGAGGTGAAGAGATTTTCCCAAGATCACTTTGCCCACGTCCAGCTAGCGAGAACCTCCTCAGGGTCCTGAGCCCTGGTCCTCTCCATTTTCCTCTACACCTCGGTGAGGCGGTCTGGGGCAGACCTGGCGAAGAGGGGCCCTGAGCATCTCCAGTCCTTGACTTCTACGGCAGAGCTAAAAGGCATGGTTTGGGGTGCTTTTCTAAAAGAATCACCACAGGGCTTCAGTCTGAATTTCATCCAGCCCCTACTCATGTATGGCCTTGAGCCTCTGAGCTGGGCGACCCCCAAGTCTTATGGTGGCAGGTGTTTCACGGACATCTCAGTGGGGTTGGTCTGCCCAAGGGAGAGTGAACTTGAACAGAGCCAGAAAGGAGGAAAAATCAGACTCAGCTTCCTGCTATCCTGTCTCCTCCGTCCTCTCTCCTTTGCCGACAGGAGCTCGGATGGTCAAGGTGGCGACTGGGAAACTGGACATGAAAAAGTGAAGTTTTCCTAAAAAATCCCCTTTGCAGAAGTGTTGGGGGAAATGTCCTTGTTGATAAAATGATCACCTGTGGTATGTTAAATTTAAAATACAGTTAAGTCGAACCAGTGTAAAACATCCTATCTGATGTACTTTCCAGTGCTTTTTATATTTATTATAAGTGGAGCTGTGGGCGGCTGGGTTTCTCGGCCCCTCGCCATTCATTGCCTTGGAGTTGGCCTCGGCTTGTGACCAGAAGACCATCAGCATTAAAACAAACCCAGAAAAAGCTTCTGGTTTTTGAAGTGACCTTCTCCATAGTGTCAAGCAGACCCCCCTCCCCCCCCCCCCCACACACAAAGTCTGTTTTCAGAAAAGGAAGTGACAAATAGGTAAGAAAAGGAAACCCTGAAGTCAGCACTCCAGCCCGTGACATGTGGACCTTTGCTGTGAGTAGGTCT